GAAGGGAAGGGAAGGGAAGGGAAGGGAAGGGAAGGGAAGGGAAGGGAAGGGAAGGGAAGGGAAGGGAAGGGAAGGGAAGGGAAAAGGGCAGAACAAAGCACTACCAGTATGTTTCCTAGAAATTCGTCTCAAATATGATCAAGTTTCAGATCTTATTTGAGAAGTTTTGGATTATCGTACCGTGCAGACCCCAGTATGCAAAGGGCCTAGTTGGGACTAAATTCACCTGAGTTTGCTTCTATTTTACTTTATGGTAGAAAGATCAACTGTGTGACGCAGTATAGAGAAACAGCACGAGAGCGGTCACGAGCGAATCATCTGCTTGACATCACCATCCATAAAAAAGTCTTTATTACTGTTAAAAAGGTGATTTTAACATGTTCATAAGTTTGCAACTACAATTCACTTCACTCTTAAATATGTAGAAAGCTTTAAAAGCACAGAAAGGGTTGTGAAGGCCTGGACTCGATAATACTTTTTTTTACTTAATTGTTTTTAATTGGTGGTGGTCTCACTTTGTAGCCCTGGCTGGCCTGGAACTTGTTATGTCGACTAGGTTGGCTTAAACTCAGATTCACCTGCCTCTGTTTCCCAGGATGGAGTTTCTTGTGTGTACATGTCTCTGTGCCATGCATCTGTGCGAGAGGTCAGAGGGGGACTTGGTATTAGCTGTCTACCCTTCTTTTCGAGCAGGGTCTCTCACTATCTGGGTTCACTAGACTGCAAACTCCAGGATCTGTTCACCTTCACCCCTGCCCCCTGCCCCAAGTTGACATCGCAGCTTGCTTGCCTCATCCCTGAGTTATCCTGAGCAGCCAGGAACTAAGACTTCAAAGTCTTGTATTTTAAATTAAATCTTGTTATAATTTGGAGGGTCCACAACACCTCGACTTTAAGTTGCTAGTGACACCGTATCAAATCACATGGGTCTAGTCCATGAACTTCTAGATTGAATTCAGGGCACTGCTTTCCCCTGAAGACTTCCTGTCTTGTTCACATGTTCACTCAACTCATGACCTAAGAATTCCCAGCGCATCTGACCTATGTCTTTCAAGTCTTGCTCAATATTCAAAAAGTGCTACCTCTTTTTCTAATGTCACTTTGCTGGTTGAGCCAAGTAGAGCTGAGTGGTGGTGGCCTACGCTTTTAATCCCAGCACTGGGGGAGGCGGGGAGGGGGGCAGAGGCATGCTGAATTCTGTGAGTTCAAGGCCAGCCTGGTCCACAGAGTGAGTTCCAGGACAGGTTCCAAAGCTATACACAGAAACCCTGTTCTTTGCTTCCTGTTTTACCAGGAAATCTGTCCCTTTCCTTACTTTCTCTAAATTGGCAGTTAGGGCTGTACGGTCTAGAGGTTCAGTGCTTAGTTAGGTGTCGCTGTTGTAGTTTGTCACGCTGGAAGACACAGAATTCTTTATTATTCTCCATTGGTTCAGAGGCTGCCAGCCTGACCTACTCACTACCAAGTTCAAGCCAGTCTACCACTCAATGGTCTTTACCCCTAGAGCTTCCGTCCTGATGCTGCGACCCTTTAATACAGTTCCTCATGTTGTGGTGACCCCAAACATAAATTATTTTCATTACTACTTCATAACTGTAATTTTGCTACTGTTATGGATTATGAATACCTGTTTTCCAATGGTCTTAGGTGACCCCTGTGAAAGGGTTGCTCGATCCCCAAAGGGGTTGTGACCCACAGGTTGAGAACCACTGCTGTACGATCACTGTGTTATGTTCTGCCTGAGTCTGCTGAAAATTTCTAATTAAGAACTGTACCTCAACAACTTTCGGTAGCTTTGAGACAGAGCTTATACAGAAGTTCTTTTTATTTATTAATTTTCAAGATGAATTGATGCCCTGGCTAGGTCCTTGGGTGTACTGTGTAGACATTCAGTCCTTCTGCGAAGCACCATTCTAGAGAGAATTTCCTAAAATTTAACACCTTTTTCCTCTGATTGAAACCTTTCATGCCATCACTTGTGTGCAAGAAGCAAAAAGGGATTAAAACCTTTTTCTTCTAGAATTTTCTAATGTCCCCTATCATATTTGCAACGGAAGGGTTCTTCAAAAGGTCCTTAAGAATTCTTGTGAATTCGCTGGTGATAGGTGAGGTGCGAGTGTTGTCTGAAGGCCTTCTTACACTCCATACATTCGTACGGTTTCTCGCCGGAATGGATTCTCTGGTGCTGGATTAGTGACGAGTGGAGTCGAAAGGCTTTCCCACACTCCTGGCAGTCGTACGGTTTCTCACCCGTGTGGATGCTCTGATGTTGAGTAAGCTGCGAGAGCAGTCGGAAAGTTTTCTCACATTCCAAACATTTGTACGGCTTCTCACCAAAATGGATACTCTGGTGTTGAGTCAGCTGTGAGAAGAGCCGAAAGGCCTTCCCGCATTCCTTGCAGTCATACGGCTTATCCCCGACGTGAATACCCTGGTGGGAGATGAGCTCCGAGTACCGGCGGAAGAACTTCTGGCACTCCTTACACTCGTACGGCTTCTCCCCGGTGTGGATCCTCTGGTGAAGCGTCAGATGATAGCCGCGGCTGAAGCTCTTCCCGCACTCCTTGCAGTCAAAGGGCTTCTCGCCCGTGTGGATCCGCTCGTGCAGGGTGAGCTGCTGCCGCACGCGGAAGGCCTTCCCACACTCCGCACAGCTGTAGGGCTTCTCTCCCGTGTGCAGTTTGTGATGCAGCCGCAGGCCCGTGCTGCACAGGAAAGTCTGACTACACTCGTCGCATTTGTAGCTTGTGCCGGCACTGCTGAGCCTCTGGTGCCGGGTAAGGTGCGCGTACTGGCGGAAGGTCTTCCCGCACTGCCTGCACTCGTAGGGCTTCTCGCCCGTGTGGATCCGCTGGTGGAGACTAAGCTGTCCCCGCACTCGGAAGGCCTTCCCGCACTCTTGACACTCATAGGGCTTCTCGCCAACGTGACTTCTTTGGTGTCCGCGGAGGTCTGAGCTGCACGAGAAGATCTCTGTGCATTTCTTGCATTCGTAGAGCTTGTCAGATGTGTGAATCCTCTGGTGTCGGCTAAGGTGGGCGCACTGTCTGAAAGCTTTTCCGCATTCTTTGCATTCGTAGGGTTTCTCACCGGTGTGGATTCTCTGATGGAAAGTAAGCTGCTGGCGGACTCTGAAAGCCTTTCCACACTCCCCACAACCGTAGGGCTTTTCTCTGCTATTTTTCTGATAGAGACCAACAGGTGAGCGTTTTCTGTACATAGGTCTTTTTCCACGGGTGGGTTTTGTCATTTGCCTGGAATATACTCTATGAGAACTCTCTTGTTCTTCACACATTTTATATTCAAATTCTTTCCCATAAAAGGAGTCTTCGAGGCCATGCCTTTTAATTCTTTCTATTATCTTCCATGGAGATAAATTAATTTCATAAGTATTATTTTCTTGAAATAACACTTTGCTGCTATACCTAGATTCCAGATCTGAAAAAAAAAAAAAAAGATAAACACATGACACTCTCCCAATCTGGATGAAATAAACAGATACAAGTTTTTAAAACTGAAACCAAAAACATAACACAAAACAAGCTTAAACCACATGTGATGGCATGTCTGATTGCAGCACTCCAGAGGCTGGGGAAGATGCTTTAGTCACATAGGCAGGTACACAGGCAGACCAGCTTGAGCTACACTGCAAGAGTTTGGCTCAAGACAAGGAAAACAAAACAAGACAAAACCAGCCGCTAAATCGGCTAAATAGCCCCTCCCCAAAAAATAATCATGTGTTTTGAAAATAAAAAGTCTAAGAGGGATAAAGAAATGATGAGACCAGGTTATTTGGATATAGATCAAAATTTGAGAATCTCTACTTAAAGTATCTTTTTTAATTGGATGCATTTCGTATGTGCTAGCTTGCGTGAGCTTATGTGTATCACAAATGTGCAGGAGCCCATGGAGGCCAGAGTCCGTGAGCTGCAGGCCGTTGTTAGCTGCCATGTGGGTTCTGCAAAGGATGCAGGATGGTTATTAAGCACTCTTACACACCGAGGCACTTCTCCAGCCTCACTATTTACAGCAGAGTAAGTATATTTCCCCATGAATAGCATGGCCTGTGTTTACCATATGCAGATTGTTATCCCCTTTGCTCCTTGCCGCTCTATCGCCCTTGTTCCTTTCCATGACTGAAAACAGGGACTGGAGAGATGACTCAGCAGCTAAGGGAACTTGCTGCTCTCGCAGAGGACCTGTGTTCTGTTCCCAGCACCCACATGGCTCACAACCGTCTCTAATCCCTTCTGGCCTCTGCAGGCACTAGGCACACACACATGGGGCATAGGTACACATGTAGGCAAAACAAGCACATAAATATATACAAACACATTCATATTTTTAAAGAGTTTGATACATTTTTATCTTGTCATCTGCCTTGATTTTCCTTGAGACAGGGTTTCATTCATGTTGGCTAGCACATTACCAAAGATGGCTGTAAGCTTTCTGACCTTCCTGCCTCCATCACCCTAGTACAGGGTTACAGGTGTGTGCCACCATACCTGGTTTTATGTGGTGGAGGGGATCTAACCCAGGGCTATGTGCATAGTAGGCAAGCAGACTATTAACTGAACTACATCCCCAGCCCAAGAGCTCAATAATTTTTTAAAATAAAAAAAGTATTTTAAAAAAGAATTTATGTCATATATCAACATTATCTGTAACATGCCCAACCCGGAAGCCCTTATTAAGAGAAAAACAACTAAGGAAATGATGTCATACAAGTACATCACTGAACAGAGACTATGCAATCCACAACTACAAGCAACCATGAGGATCAATTCTCCAAGTGCACGAGTAAGTAAACAAAGTCAAATGCACACACACACACACACACACACACACACAATTGAAAATAAAAAGGGTATGGTGTGGCGGCACACACCTTTAATCCCAGCACTCAGGAGACAGAGGATCTCAGTGAGCTCAGGGACAGCAGAGTGTATATGGTGAGTTTCAACCAGGCTACACGATGAGACCTAGTCTTCAAACAATATTAATTCATGCATATTGCATTGCTGGAGAAGCAAGTGCAGTTAAGGAGACTTTAAAGACGGATGGGAATCAGGCCATCAGGGGATTCTGTACAGGGCTGTGGTAGAACGCTTGGGTGGCTTCCATCCTCAGCACCAGCACAAACAAACAAACAAACAACCAAACAAACAAGCCAAAGCCGCCTTCATGAATAAAGCATACTTTATATGCTGCAAGGCCTTGGAACTGAGGGACCTGACGCTCACACGATAAGAGCCAACCAGAGCCTCTTCAGTTGGTTCTGTTTTCATACTCACCCTTCTACAATTCCCTCACTCTGGTCCCTACACCTCATCTAATCCTCCATATCATTACCCTAATCACTTTTCTTCTAGTACTTACAAGGTTACTTTTTCCAGATAAAGTTTCACTATGTGGCCCTGGCTAGCTTGGAACCTGTTATTAGACTAGGCTGGCCTCAAGTTCCCAGAGATCCACCTGCCTCCTAAGAGCTGAGACTAAAGAACCACATCCCTGGTCATTTCAGGATATTAATAAACCATTTTTTTTGTTTTGTATGGTTGTGTGGTCAGATGGTAAGGCCATGGCTCAACAGATGCTCAACCACTAAGCTACACCCCGAACACAAGCATGAACTTGTTTATTTTTCAACTTTTACATTAATTTTGCCTGCATGTATGTCTATGTACCATGGGCATATATGTCCTTGAAGCCAGAAAAAGCCACATGTCCCCTGGAATAGAAGTTGCAGATGGTGGTGAGCCACGGTGTAAGTGCTGGACACCAAACCCAGCTCCTGTGTATTAACCATCAGTGCTCTTAGTCCCCACTTGTTGCATGACTTCATTACAAATATAAGCTCCATAAGATGAAAACAATAATTATATATATAAAAACTGAAATGCAAGTGGGCACAGTGGCACACACCTGTAGTCCCAGACAGGAGAAGATCTGAGACAGAGGATGAGGAATTCATAGTCAGCCTCATTATATGGTAAGACCCTATCTCAGAAAAGAAAAAGTAGCTGCTGAGATGGCTCAGCAGTTAAAGGCTCTTGGCTGCTGAAGATGACCAGAGTTCAAGTCCCAACACATGCATGGTGGTTCATGGCCACCTGAAACTCCAGTCTCCGGGGGATCTGATGCCTTCTTAGGGCCTCAGTGGACACCAGACATGCAAGCGATGCACACACAAACATCCCAGCAAAGCAGCTCCACAAAGGTTCTGTAGGAGTGGGGGATGAACTAAAAGATTATCTACAAAGAAATTCGATATAAAACACAGGAAGAATGTTCTCACTAGACAAGAAAGCTTTCCCTTATGGAAAAGGCAGGAAAATGAGAGAGAAGAAACAAATGGCAATCTGGCATAGAAGATATGTCATTGGTGACTCATTCATAAAAGACCTAAGTTTTCTTTCCAAGTTTAATGTCTCTTCCTCATCAGCACCTAAGAGTGCATCCCCAGCCTTCCCCATCAGCATCTAACAGTGCATTCTCCAGCCTTCCCCACCAGCACCTAAGAGTGCATCCTCCAGCCTTCCCTATCAGCATCCCAGGGGTGTGTCCTCCAGCCTTCCCCACCAGCACCTAAGAGTGCATCCTCCAGCCTTCCCTATCAGCATCCCAGGGGTGTGTCCTCCAGCCTTCCCCACCAGCATCCCAGGGGTGTGTCCTCCAGCCTTCCCCATCAGCATCCCAGGGGTGTGTCCTCCAGCCTTCCCCATCAGCATCCCAGGGGTGTGTCCTCCAGCCTTCCCCATCAGCATCCAAGGGGTGTGTCCTCCAGCCTTCCCCACCAGCACCTAAGAGTGAGTCCTCCAACCAGCAGGCGCATGTCAGTCACACATTGCCTCTGCTGATGAGCGCTTACTCACCTTGGCTCCACCTTCTCTTCTCCTCCCTCACAATCATCCAGGGCTCTTTCCCTTGTTCCAACAGGATGATCACATCTGGCTTAGAGATGGAACATCCTGCTTGAAAGAACAGAACAGAATATATGTATAGAATGAATCTATCTGCCAGGTGGGGAGACACATGGCTGTGACTTCAGCACTTGGGAGGAAGAGGAAGAAGGACCAGGGGTGTAGTGTCATGGCTGCATAGTGAATGCAAGATGAGGTACAGAAGACTTTGTGTGTGCTTAGGGCACATGCAGAGTTTTATTTATTATTAGTTATCATTACTATTATGGTTTTTGATACAGGGTTTCTCAGTGTACCTTTGGTTGTCCTGGAACTCACTTTGTAGACCAAACTGGCCTCAAACTCAGTGATCCACCTGCCTCTGCCTCCAGAGTGCTGGGATTAAAGGCATGTGCCATTACCACCCAACTGTTTAATTTAGTTTTTTTTTTTTACTTTTATTTTTATGTGTGTGGGTATTTTGCCTGCATGTATATCCATGCACCATGTGTATGCAGTGCTCTCAGAAGCCATAGGAGGGCGCTGGATCCCTTGGAACTGGAGTTACAAATGGCAGTGAGATGCTCTGTGGATGCTGGGAACCAAACCTACATACTCTGCAAAAGCAGCCAGTGCTCTTAACTTATGAGCCATCTCTCTAGGATCCAAAGAAAGATTCTTTAGTCAATTCTTCAAAACAACTATGGCTCTCAGGGTAGGAAAACACTAGAATTTAAAGTCTTTTAGTATCGAGGGTAGAGACATGATTTTATTTTCATTTAAACTCATATAACTCTATCCTTTTAAAACTTATTTTTTAAAGAAAGATTTATTTATTTATTTTGTATACAGTGTTTTGTTTGCATGTCTGCCTGCAGGTCAGAAGAGGAAGTGGGCACCAGATCTCATTACAGTGGTTGTGAGCCACCATGTGGTTGTTGGGAATTGAACTCAGGACCTCTGGAAGGACAGCCAATGCTCTTAAGCTCTGAGCCATCTCTCCAGCCCTAAAACTTATTTTTTAATTATAATTATGTATTTGATTTTTGTGGGATCATGAAAGTGTTTCACAGAGGTGAAACACTTCCAAACCACAAAGAGAGGGTCTCCCGGCTGTCAGCGCACGTGACAGTGACCGGAAGTGAGCTTACCCAGGGACACCAGGTGGCTGTAGTTCTCTAACATCACATCTTTGTACAGATCCCGCTCCTGAGGATTCAGGCATTCCCACTCTTCCTGAGAAAAGTTCACAGTCACGTCTCTGAACATCACCTCACCCTGAAATGACAATCCCGTGTACTGTGTGTAAGATAAAACGGGATAGAATGTACTGGGGGTGTGTCTGCCAAAGTTACTGTTCCGTGGCTGTGAGGAAACACCAACACCAAGCCAGCTCTTATAAAAGAGCCTTTAATTGGGGACTTCCTTGTAATTTTAGGTTAATCCATGATCATCATAGAAGCAGACAGGCATGGCAGCTGAGAGCTTCACATCCTGATACACAGGCAGCAGGCAGACAGACAGACAGATACACAAGAGACAGAGACAAAGACAGAGAGACAAAGACCTGGGCTTGGTGTGGGTTTTTAAAGCCTCAAAGCTCACCCCATAACATGACTCCTCCAACAAGGCCACATAGCTTAATCCTTCCCAAATATTCCCACTAACTGGGGACCAAGTTTTCAAATATATGTGTTATGGGAATTTTGTTTATATCATGGTCTTTTGTCCAATTGAATAGAGCATTTGGTTCAAGAGGTGGGGTTCACATTCAGCCGACCAGAAATTAATCAGAGTCCTTGGCGGACTCAGAAGAGAGGGAGGCCCCTGGGAAGAAGAGGTGGGACTGGAAGGTTGCGAGGCCTTTTAGGAGCAGGGAGGCAGGTGGTGACGGTTGTATCATGACCGTGGTGATTGTCTCAGGTTCTTAGATTTGTCCCTCAGTTTTAATACAATGAACAGTAAAAGAAATCATTTCATACATGAGCCTCTGGGAGCCATTCTCATTCCAACCCACAGGAGACTAAACAGATGGCTGAGCGGTCAAGAGCCCTGCTGCCCCTGCAGAACCAGAGTTCCCGGCGCTCACGCTGAGCACGCATAACACGCGTTTGCAAACACACACACACATGCATCAAAATTATCTATGAAAATCTTGAGAAAATGTTTACAAGGGGCAGGAGAGACAGCTCCGAGGTTAAGAGCCCTTTCTGCTCTTGCAGAGGGCCCAGGTTTGGTCCCCAGAACCCACATGGAGGCTCACAACCACCAGTAATTCCAGTTCTAAGGGATCTAATATCCTCTTCCGATATTGAGGGCTCCAGCATGCATGCAGTGCACATATATACACCCAGGCACACTCACATACGATAAAATTAAGTAAATATTTTAAAAGAATAAAATAGGTAAGACTATGTATGTTCCTCACAGATCATATCTTAGTCTGTCAACAATGGAAAATTTAAATTATGTATGTAGTAACTGCTCATAATGCAATTCGGTGGGAGCAGTGATATTTTAAGGAGAGGTTTTCTGATCTTTAGGGGTTCACATCAGTAAGCTCCTGTCAGGGACTGATTTGGTCAGTGCACCCTCGGGTGAAGGTGGAGAGATGGGCACACAGAGCAGGCAGATGCAGGGGCTACACACACACACACACACACACACACCCGTGTAGTGAAGACTGGGGAGCAGCTGGAGGATCAGATTCTGTTAGGAAGCTTCAAAATAACAAATGAGAGTGTTTGTTCAACCTGACAGACCAAAAATGACAGGGCAACCAAGAGGGTGCGCTGGGGAAAAGTTGCCGCAGCCAAGCCAGGTGACGTGAATTACATCTCCAGGACATGGGTGGAAGGAGAACTGGCTCCTTTTCCCTGCAGACACCCGCGGCACATCCCCCCCCCAAATGAATAAACATAAATAAATAACTGTATGAGCTTTAACCCTGGGACCCACATGGGAAGCTGATGATTTGGGCCTATCCTCAGGACAAACCAAGGAGGAGAGAACCAATTCCAAAAGTTGGGCACTGACAGTCACGTGTGTGCCACAGCATGCTATGTCCACATGTACAAGCACACATGTGTCCCACAGCATGCTTATGTCTGTATGTGCATGCACACGTGTGCCACAGCATGCTTATGCCCGTATGTGCATATGCACAGGCAGCATAAATAAATAAATAGTGTAACTTTTTAAAAACAATTTGAGATACAGAGAAACCAACTTACATGAGCCATGATTCTAGAATTGCAAGAACTGGCTTGTCCTTCCTCAAGGATCACGCCCTGGAGAAGCCGGTCAGAGCTAGAGCTGGGGAAGAGTATGCAGCCATGAGATCAGAGCTGCCTCAGAGCTTCCAATTTTAAGTGTCAATGTATCCCATTTCTCTCTCCTTACATGCAACTCAGCATTCTAACACAAACTGCGGGAGGTGGGCGGTGGCTTACAGGTCCTTTATGCCCTCCTCCAAACTACAGGGCAATCAGCTGCAAAATATGGCAGTGAAACTTCAGGATGCACTGGGGTCACCTAGAAGACTGGACGAGATGGCTCAGGGGTTAAGAGCATTGGTTGCTCTTCCAGGGACCTAAGTTCGATCCTCAGCACCCACATGGTCTTCACAACCTACTTGTTACTCCAGGTCCTCCTGGACACATGTAGGTGGCACACATACATGTAAACACACACATAAAAGTAAGTTTTAGAAGAAAAAATGTGCTTTTCTGGCTTTTGTTTGTTCTGCAGTCCTGAAAAGAGAGAGCTCACAGGCCTGCGCGAGCTGGGTAAGGGCTCTGTTGCTGAGCTACAGCCCCAGCCCTTGCATTTGTAAAATTTCCCCGAGACACACAGCAGCTGATCCAAATGCCACACTTAAGAACAACCAATGAGCCAGGCCTGGTGTCGCAAGTCTTTGATTCCAGCACTCGGGAGGCAGAGGCAGGTAGATCTCTGTGAGTCTGAGACCAGCCTGGTCTACAGAGAGAGTTCCAGAACAGCCAGGGCTACACAGAGAAACCCTATCTCAAAAAACAAAAACAAACAAACAAAAACCTACCAGTGCAGGAGAGGAGGATGGGTCTCAGCGGTTCCTCCAGCCACCAACCTCAGTACCCTTAAATAACATGCTAGGCTTTACAAAACACACACCAGCCTTTAACACTGGTATTTCAGTATTAGAGAACCTAAGAAAAACGGGCCAACTAAATGTATAAAGCACGTGAGTAATCAACCATAGAATCCCACCATCCACTGCACTAAAAAGGTCTCTGCTCACAGAAAATGTAGGGAAATTCTCAGACCCTGAGCAATGAATAATTCATTCTTTTTTGTCTTTTTATTTTTCAGACAAGGTCTCAATGTGGTCCAGGGTGGTATTGAACATATCATCCTCGTGGAGTGAGTGGCAGCGACATCACTCACAGAACTGAATAAAACATTTTCACAGAGAGCTTTCAAAGGGAAGGAGATTAACCCCATGTCCTAAAAATTCAGACAGACTTCACAGAAACACAGAAGCACCAGAAACTCACATGTAATCTTGCTTTTAAAAAGAAGCAGCGGAGCAAATTCAAGATACTCCGGGCCTTCTTTCTTCTTCTTTATTTTTTTTTCTTTCAGATGGGGTCTCTTGCAACTCAAATTCAGGCGACAGACCTTGACTGTCTTATCCTCCTGCCTCCACCTCCCAAATCCTGAGATCACAGGCGTGTACCACCACGCCCTCCGGCTTCACCCCAACGCTTTTCTAAACTTGGTCAGAGCCCCCTTCCATACTTCAGGGATCCCAACTGACCCCACCCC